AAGTGATTGATTTTTAAGTTGAAATTTTATTACTTCAACACTCGCGTTTAAATTTTTATTTTTATTTCAGTCATTTTTAACCAAATTTCGAAAGTTATAAAAGGGGTAAAAATTAATTATTTTTACATAAAAAATCCTTTGTTTTTTTGTTTTTTTCTATTAATAATAGCATAAATATTTTATCGAGAAAAAATTTTGCGGGGTGGGAATATTTCATCATGTATGACATTTTTTTCGCGATTATTCAATTTAAATGTCATGCCAATCACTATCTACTGTCCTCTTGATTACCCTTCTTTTGTTCTTGCTTCTTAATAATGTTTCTGTTTACTAACTCTTCCACACCTAATAACCCCTTGTGTCTCAGTGGATTTACAGCCTTGGATTTTTAATGGTTGAACTCGATGAAAAAAATGAGAAAAAAGTAAAACAATTTTAGAGACTCTTACGAAGAGATTGTTAACGCAACCAATATAGAATTTGGAGGAATATGATTTTGTTTTCACCGTCTGTTAAACATCCATGCCATATGAATGATTTTGTCCCCTGAACCAAAAATGTTCCGCACTTTCTTCTGTAATTACAACAACATTTTCAAGTCTTTTATGCTTCTTTCTTTTAGCCGAATCTACAGATGAATAAGCGACAAACACATTAAAAGAAAAAACAACAAAAAACGAATAAAAAAGAAAGATATTTCAAACACATTCACACATGTTTGTAATTACATATGACTAGTAAAGACACACACACAGAAATATATATATATATATATATATATATATATATATATATATATATATATATATATATATAACATCAAGGACTAGGATCTTTTTCATAACATAAAACCCAGATAAAAAAAAATTTGCGATAAAGCAAGAAAAACAGAAAAAAAAAGATTATTAAACGGAAAACTTCCGTAGTCTTTTAATAACACGTCTCAATATACATTCACACATTTTGTAATCGTTTTATGAGTAGAAAAAAATAAATATAAAAAAATAAATATATATATATATATATA